TTAGTATAACCATAGTTTAAAAACATTATCGAAGATAAAATTCTGTACAACATATATGAAAATTAAAAAATATATTAGGCTTTATATAAAATATTACTACGCAGCTGTAAAATTGCCTTGCAGGTTTTGGCACTAACCGTTACAACACTGGGACTGGCCAGAATAAAACAAACTTTCACAATATCACATTCATCTTTAAAACCACACCACACGTCATTACATTTATCTACTAAAACCTGTCGAACGTCATTATAAGTGGACATGAACATGGACTTCGTCTTCCACACACGTATCACAATAAAAGCACACTCTCTCGTTGATATGTAGGTTTGTATATCGCCCAGTCTCGACTCGTATTGGGGCTACACCACATCTGAATACAGCTAGAGAGCGTCTGTTAGACTTTGACATAGGAATCTGGTTAAAATAAGCAACATTATATTCGTTCTTCAGCTGATTATATAGTCGTAGCTTGTTGCCTTCGTTACCGCTTCGACTGTTCACTTTACTCACTGAAATTTTCCATTCCTCCTTGAAGCGTTGAAATACAGTATCTCTCACTTCACCTCCAATTTGACGATAGTTATACGTGTTATTTGTGGAGGTAAAAACAGATAGACCTAATTGTTTAAACTTCGTGTGTACTCTGAAGTTCCAGTTCCTCTTGTTGTTTAGTGCGTGTTTATTGGCCCACACAAATACTTTTCTTGTTAATCTATGTTGTAGAAGGGAGCTGCAACGTTTGTAGAACTTTGAGATAGTTTCCCATTGTCTTACTATTGGGGGAATCCACCCCATGTCTCAAGATACAGCATTATTCGGAGCAAACTTTCTCAATCCCATGAAAAATCGCATGGACTGCGTTGATACAGCTGACATTGTATGTTCCCCAGATAGCTGATCCATACTGCATTGTCGCCCACACCATGGAGTCATAGAGTTTAGTGTATGTATTGTACTGCATCCCTCCGAGAACCTCGAATTTTGATATCAGCAGCCCTAACGCTCTGTTAGCCAAACTTGCTATAGCTTGTCCCATTCTCCTATAGTCCAAGTGTTCAGAGAGGAGTAAACCCAGATAATTATAACTGTCGACAAATTCAATAACATTCGTCCCACACTCGAAACGCTGTTTAGTTTGACATACCGATGGATTCCTGAAGTGGATTAACTTGGACTTTCCTGCATTTATGTTCATTTTATTTTACGCGCCACTTATGGAGAACGTCGAACAACAGATTCATATTCTCCTCATTTTTTGTAATGAGTATGATGTCATCTGCATAAGCGAGGATACTGACGTTTTCGCCGTCGACTTCAACGCCTAGAGACATAGCATTTACCTTGTCAATCAGATCGTTCACATAGAGGTTAAATAAAAGCGGTGATAAAAGACAACCTTGTTTGAAGCCACATTTCACTTCGAACCATGGAGTGTATTGTCCATTTAGTCGTACACAGCATTTAACGTCTCTATACAGCGACACGATGTATAATTTGAAATGTGACTGGAAAAATCTCAGCTCTCTTTTATGCTTAAAACCCACCTCAGCCTCCGCCCACTGAAGTCAGGTTTAACAATTCATTAATGTTGTTTTACGTATATACTTTTTATCGTATAGAAACACATAACACATGCGACCCATATAGTGGCCAAGAGGGAATATTGCTATACCGCGAGAAAGCGATAGAGCGAGAAAGCGATAAAGCGATAAAGCAAGAAAGAGATAGAGCGAGAGAGCGAGAAAGCGAGAAGGCGATGTCCCCTCTCGGCCACCATATAATAGCTCTTTTGCGCACTACTTTTGCAATAAACAACACAAGAAAAACAACGGGTTTGATATGTGAAATTAGTAATTAAATGCTGCTTGCTGTGCATAGTTCAGCACAGTTACAAGTAGTTCACTGTATGTAAAGCGTGATTCATACCGTTTCATGCTGCGGTTTACGGTTCTGCATGGTAGAACTCTCTTTTCCCTGGTATTATCAATGAACCTATCTTGAAATCTTTTTTACCTCCTGCTCATTGAAACTTACAAGTGTGTGACCTATAATTCCCATAATTCAACTTTGCAGTCATGGATGGTTGCATCATATATATACGCATCAGTACATACAGGCACATCCAGTTATCTCGTTCAGGTGCAATGGAGGGCGCTCAGGGTCTGGCAGGTGAGACATATTTCATTTGTTTCGCAAACCTCGGACATGGGTGGGTGTATACAGATTGATCTACTTACTAAACCCACGACCTTTGAAGTGGTTTTCTTTAATAGGCCTGCATTTCAATGATGACGTTTGCAGTAGATTTTGCAAGTCATCTGGCTACACATCACCTGTCACGAGTATATTGGAAATAGGCTGTAACTGGTCTTCAGAATGCAACTGTTTGCCCTGATACCATATACAGACGGTGGATACATGCATGTTATATACTTGTCAAAAGAAGGTAAGAACTCACAATTTCATCACATGACTATAGTTAATCTGTCATGGCTGGTGAGTATTGCAACACATGAGGGTATTCTTTAACTTGTTTTGAGTAATATATATCAGATATATCAAGCAGGTTACACGTGTAGGTTGTTTGTGAACGATTTTGTAAGCAACATTTTAGCAACAATGCGGCGGGGAATAAAACCAAATGGCTTCACAATGCCCATGCAGGGACTCGAACCCGGATCTAACGCGTGACGAGCTAATTCTTTAACTATTAGGCTACCTCACCGCCACTTGTTTATGTAAATAGAACACAAGTTAGTATGGCAGAATAACAATGAATTCTGTTTGCAATGATTATGGGTCTAATTTCCAAACTACGGGATCGGGTGGTCAGGCTGGCTGAGTTTGTTAATGCATTTTACCGTACCCCACTCTCATACCACCGTTTTTTACCTGGAATATTAATGAACAACAAACAATCAGGATCATCCCAACTTTATCATCAACATGAAGGTGTATGTATTCCCGCCAGGCATTGATACCAAGACGAAACGTCGACCAGCGTCATGAGTAGCGTCACTTGCGTCACTTGACGTTACGTTCATTGACACGTCTCCAACCACGCTTATGGAGGAGGTTTAGGAGAATGCAATAAGATTACATGTGATCATCGTCTCTTGGCGTTACGCCTCCAACCATGCCTATAAGGGGGTTTAGGAGAATGCAAGAAGATTACACGTGCCCATCGTCACTTGGCGTTACGTTCGATGACAGATCTCCAACTACGCCAGTGAATAAGGTTTATGGTGAATGTAAGAAAATGACTCATGCCCATCGTCTCTTGACGTCGACGTTACGTTCATTGACACGTCTCTGACCATGCCCATGAAGGAGGTTTAGGTGGATCTAAAGAAATTAGACGTGGCCATCGTCTATTCACCACAGTGCCTACGTTTGTACCAGTGACGCCACATGGTGTTAAGATATTACAGCTTGTTTCAAACAGCTGTGTGCCTCACCGGGGTCGGATGTATCCATGACGATGACTGAATTATTAATTTTCAATAAATAGCTCAGTATCCGATATACAGCCCCTGATGCACGTGGGCGTGTAATTATCATCAAATATGCACAGAAGGAAAATCATATTCGATTTTCGACACCTCTACTTTAATAAAAAAAAACATAATAAAATCACGAATTATTTTTACTTTAATTCTTTTCGGTATCGACCCATAACAAAACATGAGTTACTTGTTATCACGTGATAACAACATACATGCGTATTCCACGAACTAGCCTTGTTCATAAAGATGGGGGATCTTGTATACAAACTTGCAGTGGAAAACTGTTCACTTGAAATGAGCATGAAAACCGCAAGTGAATTATTAAATAACAAGAGATTTTGACGTACGTCTATAATTAATCGTTGATTAAACATATATGCGACTGGCGGTCTTCAAAACTCCATAGAACTGAAGCCACTCCACACGTGTGGTATGCTGCATATAAGCTAGGCGTAATGGAGGGTCTGACATAGACTTTCAGAGGAAAACTGTTCGCTCGAAATTAAATTAAAAGAACATGGTAAGTGGCAAGAGATAGGGTATGCATGGTGTGGCTAGACTTACTGTACTCAGGCGACACAATAAGAGAAGTGAGGTTCGGCATGAACGGCTACAAAAACGATATCACCTAGCTGTAACAGGTGTGACAGATCTTTGCAGGTATATTAGACGCAGGCAATCTTTCGTATGTTTTACGTTCAACGGCACTAAATGAAATTTTAAGTTATGTTTAGAGAAGAATTTGTTTTAGAGGTCACGAAGTAGATCTTCATTCGTGTGGAAAACTATTCTATGTATATGGAAAGCCTCGCACGATCCTGCTGTGTGTATTATCGGAGGGCAGGGCGTCTGTCTGATCAATGACTTGCTGTTGCGTTTCGACGATATTGAACAGACCGCTGTTTAAAATCATACTGCTGACTCAACACGTTTTTGAACTCCAAAGATAGGCTTCTCCTACTAATTTCATGTCGCAATTTAGGCTAATTTGGTGAAGCATTAATGTCAGGATTTACAGTATATGATCAAAGAAAACAATGCAATGTCGTAACATTATGTTTATTACTGAATCGAAACGCTTTAACACTGTCGGTAATTTTTGTAAGCATTGTGAAAGAATTGGAAACAATTCTCAACAGAGATTCAACTTCCACGAGGGAATTTTGTTGCATAAATGGCGCTTAACATGTATTTCACATGCCGAATCCTGAACTTGTATCGTGACACACACGACAATAACCCAATCCACCAATCAATGGCAGGTCCCTATATACGCACATTAGAAAAGAAATGTACTAATTAATTGAATAATTACGCATCAATCGAGTATAATATCTACAAAATACGTTTGTATATATCTGATCATATCGCACAAACGCCACCACAAATCCCCACCGGCAGGGCATGGTCGGAAACTTCCCCTGACATGAGTGTGAAGATAGGCTGACCTTCACCTTTCGTATCGTCTGACACACACGTCCAGCTGGCATAAAAGGCCTGCTTCATATCCAGAATGTCATTAAAACACCATTTGAGTGAATATTTGTATTTAATTTATTTGGCGTCGAGAGATTTTGTTATAAAGAAAGAGAAAACATGTCAAGTAAAGTTGGTACGTACATGTTTTATTGATTTCTATTGATCAAATATTGTGTTATCACTCTCCTTTATGATATTAACTTCAAATCAGCTGAGCAGGCTCGCCAACCCACAGGTGCTAACAGAAACTCGTCAGTGTGATGTAACACGCGATGGAAAACTCGCTTGTTTGCATAACGGCTTGTCCGATTATATCTTTTTCAGAGAAAAGCACATGTACTTGATTTACTGGTGACGATAATAATAAAAATGTGATACCATATTCAGTATTTATTTCGCATTGGAGCAAAATCAAGCTGAAAATATACTAAGACAATACACACTTGTTTATTTTCGACAATGTACAGTAAACTGTCATAAATATAAATCTGACGTGATTAACAATCTGACGTGACTAACTGTTACCGACGTGACTAACTGTAACCGACGTGACTCTACTGCAGGTGACGCGATTAACTATCTGGTGGTGACTGTCTGATATATATATGGAGAGAGATGCTATATTCCCCCGTTCCCATATTGTCGGGTGAAATACCATTTTTGATTGATACTGTGGTTTTCAGATTAAGACATGTAAGCTCAGTGAGAAAATACATAATAAACACAACATTTTCAGTTTGTCCAGTAACATGAAATATATATGTTTATCACTTCTCGTAAACTGAAAAAGTGGCAAGGGGATACATTCAAACCCGGGTCCCCGCGGGGTAGGCTGTCATACAGACCCTGAAACAAATATATCCAACATCGCCCATGCAAGTCTAGATTACTGCAGTTTCTGAAAATGAAGAGTCTCCGGGCTCCTTTTTATTATATTTCATTAAGATAACTTAACAGCTGTTTTTTTTCTGTAAAATATTTTAATTTTAGAGCCGAGATGTTAGTCTACCACGGGGGTTACTATATGTTAAGCTAAACATATTATTTAACCTTTTTCAAGGCTAGCACTAATACGTTTAGATTAAAGAAGGTAATTGGAGGTCTGTAAATATTTCAGAGACGAGGTGAGGCAAGATGAGGTGAAATGACGTTTAACAGTGCGTTCAAGATTATTGCGCTTATAAGTGTAGCGACGTGAAAGCACGTGTGTGCGTGCGTGCGTGCGTCCGTGGCTTATGGTACTTGTCCGGACTAATGCCGATTTTATAGTGCTAGACCACCAGGTACCATGTCGCAGTTTACTATGGATACCACACTCATACTGACACCCAGCCGACCAGTCCTTGTTTTAGACCCTTAATGGGGGCACGAGTGGCCCAGTCGTCTAAGATGCCGCATTTCGCTGAGTAGAGTTGCTTCTCTTGGGCACGCCATGAAACCTATGATTGTGGGTTCGAATTCCGGATCGGCCCGATTATGTTTATAGGTTTGGCAGCAGCATACCCGTTCTCGTGGCTTTCAACAAAGTGATAATTTTAAACGTATATACGACTGAGACCCGCATCACCCCCCCCCCCCCCCCCCCCCCCCCCCCACCACCACACACACACACACACTTTAAGCTGACAGTCCTTGATATAACTCGAATATTGTTAAAAGCGGCTTGAAAGCTCACTTTATCCCCTGAATGCCGAGAGCTATGCATGTTCTGCCGGTTCTAGATCTATTGTGGTAGCTCACTGAAATTCCATGCCGCAGTTTGACATGGATACCACACTGAGACACAGTAAATAGACTCCGAGCCGACCAGTCCTTGTTTTATAACCTTATTCGCGAGCGCCAGACAGGGTAATAACAATAACCATCTTTAACTTTCTTTGGTGTCACGCGGGATCCGAACACCGACCTTCCGCTCTCCGGGAAGACATTCGATCCACCAGACCACGCAGGCTGTCAAATATCAGAGACGGTCATTATCTTGGTGAGAAGTCAAATATCGACGCATCGCGTATCTCAGAGCACCCCATGCCTTCCGAGTTAAAGAGGTTAAATGTATATATTCATTTAGGTTATTTAGGTATAGGTTATTATTAGTTACATCTTAACTCAAAACTATAATTACATAAAGTGTTTACCAAACCAAAACATTCTGATTCTTCAAATCACAAGTGGAATGTCAAGATAATCCACGCAGAACACCCGATGAGCGGAATTTTCCCCTTCAATAGTCCAAGGGGAATAACTCCAGTATACTACTTTGGCCATTGCCAGCGCTTGTGCGGCGGCCTCCATAGATAAGACGTATCCATCGACACGTACTCAAGACGATTGGGTCGCGTGAGGTAAGTTGATCTACGCGTTACTGTAAGATAAACTAGGCCAGACTCAGTCATGCTCAGCTGGATCGGCTGCAGAACGACCAGGGTACATTTGCAAAGTTGGACCACGATACCTGATAAGAAGATGCAATTTTTGTTTGTTATTTGAGTTGGTCACCACGATGGTGTCTTAATGTGAGTGAGTGGGGTTTAAAGCTGTATTCCAGGTTTAACAGCAGGTCGACACTGAGTGAATTTCTCTTATATCCCCGACCTTAAAGGGCGGAGATGTATAGTTATACTAAGGGATTCCGTCCGTCCGTCCGTCCGTCTGTTCTATCTTTCGAGGACATTTTTATGTGTGACCTATTAGATGCCAGATCTACTTGAAAACTACTGCATAGATTCTTGGTGAACAATTTTTATACCTGTAGCAGAGGTGCAGTGCGAAGTTTGATCTCAATATTTGGATTTTCTGAAAAAACCCAGCTTTTTTCATGTCTTTACTTAGAATTATATTACTGAACAATTTGTGCGACCTACAACTTGAAAACTACTGCATGGATTTTTTTCAGATTTAGGGAATAGTTTCCATACTAATATAAGACTTACAGGGCAAAGTTAAATTTGATATGTGTATTTTCTGAAATAAATATGATTTTTCTCATGTTTTGAACTTATATTATATATTTTTTTACTTCAACATTTGTGCGACCTATAATTCCAAAACTACTTCATGGATTCTTTTGCCTATAGGGTCACTCTCGATGTGGGATCGAAATGTACCCAGGGCACAAATCGATATTTTAAACTGTACCAAGACTTCAGTAACCATGTCGTTTTGTGCCAATTTACCCAATGATAATAAAGTTAATAAAATCATTTTCCCAGTTTGTGTATTGCCCCACATTGTACTGCCCATACTGAATTGTCCTGTGCTGTTTTGTCCTATATTGTATTGCCCCATACTGTATTGTCCCATAATGTATTGTCCCATACTGTATTGTACCACACTGTATTGCTCCACACTGTATTGCTCCACACTGTATTGTCCCATACTGTATTGCTCCACACTGTATTGCTCCACACTGTATTGTCCCATACTGTATTGCCCCACACTGTATTGCCCCACACTGTATTGCTCCACACTGTATTGCCCCACACTGTATTGCCCCACACTGTATTGTCCCATACTGTATTGCCCCACACTGTATTGCCCCTTACAGTATTGTCCCATACTGTATTGCCCCTTACTGTATTGTCCCATACTGTATTGCCCCACACTGTATTGTCCCATACTGTATTGCCCCACACTGTATTGCCCCACACTGTATTGCTCCTCCCTGTATTGCCCCATACTGTATTGCCCCTCACTGTATTGCCCCACACTGTATTGCCCCACACTGTATTGCTCCACACTGTATTGCCCCTCACTGTATTGCCCCACACTGTATTGCTCCTCACTGTTTTGCCCCTCACTGTTTTGCCCCTCACTGTTTTGCCCCTCACTGTTTTGCCCCACACTGTATTGCCCCACACTGTATTGCCCCACACTGTATTGCTCCACACTGTATTGCCCCACACTGTATTGCCCCACACTGTATTGCCCCTCACTGTATTGCCCCACACTGTATTGCCCCACACTGTATTGCCCCACACTGTATTGCTCCACACTGTATTGCCCGAAACTGTATTGTCCCACACTGTATTGCCCCACACTGTATTGCCCTGTATTGCCCCACACTGTATTGCCCCACACTGTATTGCCCCTCACTGTATTGCCCCACACTGTATTGCCCCACACTGTATTGCCCCACACTGTATTGCTCCACACTGTATTGCCCGAAACTGTATTGTCCCACACTGTATTGCCCCACACTGTATTGCCCCACACTGTATTGCTCCACACTGTATTGCCCCACACTGTATTGCTCCACACTGTATTGCCCCACACTGTATTGTCCCACACTGTATTGCCCCACACTGTATTGCCCCACACTGTATTGCTCCACACTGTATTGCTCCACAATGTAGTGCCCCACACTGTATTGCCCCACACTGTATTGCTCCACACTGTATTGCCCCACACTGTATTGCTCCACACTGTATTGCCCCACACTGTATTGCCCCTCACTGTATTGCCCCACACTGTATTGCCCTCACTGTATTGCTCCACACTGTATTGCTCCACACTGTATTGCCCCACACTGTATTGCTCCACACTGTATTGCTCCACACTGTATTGCTCCACACTGTATTGCCCCTCACTGTATTGCCCCACACTGTATTGCCCCACACTGTATTGCCCCACACTGTATTGTCCCACACTGTATTGCCCCACACTGTATTGCTCCACACTGTATTGCTCCACAATGTCGTGCCCCACACTGTATTGCCCCACACTGTATTGCTCCACACTGTGTTGCCCCACACTGTATTGCTCCACACTGTATTGCCCCACACTGTATTGCCCCTCACTGTATTGCCCCACACTGTATTGCCCTCACTGTATTGCTCCACACTGTATTGCTCCACACTGTATTGCCCCACACTGTATTGCTCCACACTGTATTGCTCCACACTGTATTGTCCCATACTGTATTGCTCCACACTGTATTGCTCCACACTGTATTGTCCCATACTGTATTGCCCCACACTGTATTGCCCCACACTGTATTGCTCCACACTGTATTGCCCCACACTGTATTGCCCCACACTGTATTGCTCCACACTGTATTGCCCCACACTGTATTGCTCCACACTGTATTGCTCCACACTGTATTGCCCCACACTGTATTGTCCCACACTGTATTGTCCCACACTGTATTGCCCCACACTGTATTGCTCCACACTGTATTGCCCACACTGTATTGCCCCACACTGTATTGCCCCATACTGTATTGCCCCACACTGTATTGCCCCACACTGTATTGCTCCACACTGTATTGCCCCACACTGTATTATCCCACACTGTATTGCTCCACACTGTATTGCCCCACACTGTATTGTCCCATACTGTATTGCTCCACACTGTATTGCTCCACACTGTATTGTCCCATACTGTATTGCCCCACACTGTATTGCTCCACACTGTATTGCTCCACACTGTATTGCCCCACACTGTATTGCACCACACTGTATTGTCCCATACTGTATTGCCCCACACTGTATTGCCCCTTACTGTATTGTCCCATACTGTATTGCCCCTTACTGTATTGTCCCATACTGTATTGCCCCACACTGTATTGCCCCTTACTGTATTGTCCCATACTGTATTGCCCCACACTGTATTGTCCCATACTGTATTGCCCCACACTGTATTGACCCACACTGTATTGCTCCTCCCTGTATTGCCCCATACTATATTGCCCCTCACTGTATTGCCCCACACTGTATTGCTCCTCACTGTTTTGCCCCTCACTGTTTTGCCCCACACTGTATTGCCTCACACTGTATTGCCCCACACTGTATTGCCCCTCACTGTATTGCCCCACACTGTATTGCCCCACACTGTATTGCCCCACACTGTATTGCTCCACACTGTATTGCTCCACACTGTATTGCCCCACACTGTATTGCCCCACACTGTATTGCTCCACACTGTATTGCCCCACACTGTATTGCTCCACACTGTATTATCCCACACTGTATTGCTCCACACTGTATTGCCCACACTGTATTGCCCCACACTGTATTATCCCACACTGTATTGCTCCACACTGTATTGCCCACACTGTATTGCCCCACACTGCAATGACATTATTTGACATGACATCAGCAAAAACTGGGTACTTGAGTCTGAGTTGTCTCTTACTTGAAACTCTTCATACTGGTTTTGATTCCCCACATAGATAGAATGTGTGAAGTGCATTTCTGGTGTCCCAAGACGTGATCTTACTGGAATATTGCTAAAATCAATGTAAAATAATATTCACTCACTTGAAAGGACTAAGTTATTATTTTAGGGAAGTCACTCCAAAATAGATAATCAAATCAAGTTCCATGGACCCAAATACAGAATTATTATTCCATTTTTAGGCCCATGAGAGTTATTACGTGTGGGCCTAAATATGGGAAGTCCCGGTACCACGAACATGCTTGTTGGGTTCAACCAAATGCATCATGTTATTTGTCTTGCACACAGTCCAACACAACTGTAATCCTGATGAAAGGAAGATAACCTCACTCACTTTGACATTCAAAAGTTTTGAAAATTTCACTTTCAGGTGTGAGAAGTGCAATGGCTGACTACTGGAAGGAACACTCGACATCGGCATCACTAAAAGAGATGATGTTGGACAATGATGCAGAGGAGTTGCACAAGGAGGAGATGCCGGAAATACTCTCCTACCTCCCAGAGTTCGATGGCAAAAGGGTGATAGAACTCGGAGCAGGCATAGGGTATGACTATATCAAATATTAATTCACAGATGTGACTCTATGAGTGTCATATGGGATGGCCCAGTGCTAGAATTTTCTAGGTGTGTTCCTGGATCTGCTGCTCAAGGTTAGAATCCAGGATTTGCCCCGATCATTTGTCCATCAGGCCCATATGTTGACAAACTGATTTTAGGTAGTGATGAACAGTAGACACAGAAGCACATGTAGTACCAGAGTGTAGACGGATTAAAATTACCCAAGCTTACCAATTTTAATCACCGCTCTATTCAGTACAGTCACTTCAGTTATACTGGCGTCTCTGATGATAATCCTAAGGCGTGTGTGTATTTTGAAGCCTTTACTGTCTCTACTCTGTTCATTGTCACTAAATTAAAACAATCAGTAGGTAATCCTTAAGCTTCCTTTACACTATACGAATTTTTGTTTCCATAATTTCTCCACTCTGTTCGATGTGTTAGTAAATCAATTGATTAATTCGTCTTTTTAAGGTTCTTCATTGTTTTTACTAACTAAACTTAACAAATAACAATATATATCAGTAGAAATCCTTAGCGTTTTGTTTCTATAATTTCTTTACTCTGCCTCTAGTCACAATTTAGTTTGCAGAGTTGTGTCCCTTTGGCACACCAGGGTTTGAATCACTTTTGGCCCGATTATGTTTCTAGGTTTGTCAGCATCATACCCGTGCTTGTAGGTTTCACCAAAGTGATAAACGTTTAAGACCTCCATCACTTCGGGCCTTCCTCCCACATTAAGTTGCTATGCCGTGATATGACTTGTAATACTGTTCAAAACGTCATCCAACATCAGTTTACTGTTCATTAACCTCATTGCAAGATGGCAGCTACACAAGTCCGAATTACTTTCCTTGAAAATGTATGCTGTGGGCGAAACATGTGTTTTGGCTACAAGTATGGAGATGGAGAAAACAAGACCTACTGCAAGTGTGTCTAGTCACTTTGTAGTGCTTATATATTTAAGAAATAAATGACTCGTGGTCGTGGTTTATTGTACAGTAAAACACTGCTACCTTGAGTGGTTTATTCTCCCTGCAGTGTTTTATTGTATGATAAACAGCGACCAGAAGTTGTTTATTTCATATATGAGATATCAGTATTATGTACAGCCTCTTTAAGGGTGTTAATAAAATGTACAGACTTAAAAAATATTTATCTGTATTTAAATAATGATGATCCCTCAATAGATTCTGTCCTCGGCAATGTGGGACAAGACCATGTTTTTAACTGAGGGGTTAACTTTGGTATTTCCCACATATTCTCACAATTTGCATGTCGATTATCTGTATCTTTTCTCCCAATACCGATTATCATATCTCTCCCAATTTTGGATGTGATCGTTTGGCCATTGCATTTATCTATGCTGCCAAGCTACATCTATGGGGAACAACACACTAGACACTTCCCCCTAAAAAATAACATCCAATTTACATCATCAAGTTGCGAGCGCATGTTCGAATCTTCGCAAATGGCATAATGATAGAACAAGGTTTTATCATGAAATAAACCATGCTTTGTTCTTCATGGTTCTTTGTGTTTTATCGTTAGCTACACAAGTGACAAATGTCTACAATTTGCTTTTCTGGACTCTAAGCTGACACATATACTGCTCAAAACATATTAAAGAACATCCACGACTGGAAGGCTGTGTGTTGCAATAGCCATTACAGGTTAGGAAAAAATTGGTGTTCTTTAACTTCTTTTGAGTAGTACATATAACTGAAATAATGTAGAAAGCATGCAGCGTTAAACCCAAATCACTCACTAACTTGAGGTATATATGGATGAGGCTCTAGAAATCTGAGGAAGCACTTTGTGTCAAAGAAATAAATGATAACTGATAACGGATGTTTTCCTCTTCATTCTCATGCTTAAAGGTGTCCTTTGTCTTTGGTAGTTTCCACTTCTTTCTCAAGTAAAGTCCTGTGAGTGACTACATTGTTGATGTGTTTTACCCTTGTTGATAGAAAGGTCTTGATACACATTATGATGCATCAGTCTAGACACATGCCACTTTAGGCAGGGCTTCACAAATAGGGAGGTTTTCAGACTCATGGCAAATTTGAAATATCAGTCTACTTGTTTTTTTATCATGTTTTCTTTGTTAGATTGAAACAAATATTTGCAGATACATGAAACTTTGTGCATGAGTTATGTAATGGTGGCAGTGCAGCAAATGTTTTGTCGGAACATTACTGTTTCAGCATCATTGTCTTGGCTACCTGAAACAAATATATTTGCCCATAAGTCATGCATGTCAATTTGTTTTTCAGGAGATTTACAAGTGTTTTTGCTGAGTCAGCCTCAAATGTTGTAGCTGTTGATTTCGTGCAGGACTTTATCAATAAGAACAAAGTTGCCAACAGTTGCTATGGTAACGTGGAGTTCCAGTGTGCTGATGTCACCCGTCTACAGAGAGACAGTAACAGGCAAGGATCTACTTTCTCAAACAATTTATATACTTTCTGTTTATTAATGAATTAGAAAGTTAGAGACAGTAAGAAGATTGTTAAATGCTTGAATAGTGAAACCATACTTGTGTTTCTTAACATTGATGTGATCTTGTGACTGCATCTAGTCACTGGTGTGTTCCTGTGACTGCATCTAGTCACTGGTGTGTTCCTGTGACTGCATCTGGTCACTGGTGTGTTGCTGTGACTGCATCTAGTCACTGGTGTGTTCCTGTGACTGCATCTGGTCACTGGTGTGTTGCTGTGACTGCATCTAGTCACTGGTGTGTTCCTGTGACTGCATCTAGTCACTGGTGTGTTCCTGTGACTGCATCTGGTCACTGGTGTGTTGCTGTGACTGCATCTAGTCACTGGTGTGTTCCTGTGACTGCATCTGGTCACTGGTGTGTTGCTGTGACTGCATCTAGTCACTGGTGTGTTGCTGTGACTACATCTGGTCAATGGTGTGTTGCTGTGACTACATCTGGTCACTGGTGTGTTGCTGTGACTACATCTAGTCACTGGTGTGTTGCTGTGACTACATCTGGTCACTGGTGTGTTCCTGTGACTACATCTGGTCACCGGTGTGTTCCTGTGACTACATCTAGTCACTGGTGTGTTGCTGTGACTACATCTAGTCACTGGTGTGTTCCTGTGACTACATCTGGTCGCTGGTGTGTTCCTGTGACTACATCTAGTCACCGGTGTGTTGCTGTGACTACATCTGGTCAATGGTGTGTTGCTGTGACTACATCTGGTCGCTGGTGTGTTCCTGTGACTACATCTAGTCACTGGTGTGTTGCTGTGACTACATCTAGTCACCGGTGTGTTGCTGTGACTACATCTAGTCACTGGTGTGTTGCTGTGACTACATCTAGTCACTGGTGTGTTCCTGTGACTACATCTGGTCACCGGTGTGTTGCTGTGACTACATCTAGTCACTGGTGTGTTCCTGTGACTACATCTGGTCACCGGTGTGTTGCTGTGACTACATCTAGTCACTGGTGTGTTGCTGTGACTGCATCTACTCACTGGTGTGTTGCTGTGACTACATCTAGTCACTGGTGTGTTGCTGTGACTACATCTGGTCACTGGTGTGTTCCTGTGACTACATCTAGTCACTGGTGTGTTGCTGTGACTACATCTAGTCACTGGTGTGTTCCTGTGACTACATCTGGTCACTGGTGTGTTCCTGTGAGTGCATCTGGTCACCGGTGTGTTGCTGTGACTACATCTAGTCACTGGTGTGTTGCTGTGACTACATCTGGTCACTGGTGTGTTGCTGTGACTACATCTAGTCACTGGTGTGTTGCTGTGACTACATCTGGTCACCGGTGTGTTCCTGTGACTACATCTAGTCACTGGGGTGTTGCTGTGACTACATCTAGTCACTGGTGTGTTGCTGTGACTACATCTGGTCACTGGTGTGTTCCTGTCACTACATCTAGTCACTGGTGTGTTCCTGTGACTACATCTAGTCACTGGTGTGTTGCTGTGACTGCATCTAGTCACCGGTGTGTTGCTGTGACTACGTCTAGTCACTGGTGTGTTGCTGTGACTGCATCTAGTCACTGGTGTGTTCCTGTGACTACATCTGGTCACTGGTGTGTTCCTGTGAGTGCATCTGGTCACCGGTGTGTTGCTGTGACTACATCTAGTCACTGGTGTGTTGCTGTGACTACATCTAGTCACTGGTGTGTTGCTGTGACTACATCTAGTCACTGGTGTGTTGCTGTGACTACATCTGGTCACCGGTGTGTTCCTGTGACTACATCTAGTCACTGGGGTGTTGCTGTGACTACATCTAGTCACTGGTGTGTTGCTGTGACTACATCTGGTCACTGGTGTGTTCCTGTGACTACATCTGGTCACCGGTGTGTTGCTATGACTACATCTGGTCACTGGTGTGTTCCTGTGAGTGCATCTAGTCACCAGTGTGTTCCTGTGACTATATCTAGTCACCAGTGTGTTCCTGTGAGTGCATCTAGTCACTGGTGTGTTGCTGTGACTGCTCTTGTCACCGGTGTGTTGCTGTGACTGCATCTAGTCACTGGTGTGTTCCTGTGACTACATCTGGTCACTGGTGTGTTGCTGTGACTACATCTAGTCACTGGTGTGTTGCTGTGACTATATCTAGTCACCAGTGTGTTCCTGTGACTACATCTGGTCACTCGTGTGTTGCTGTGACTGCTCTTGTCACCGGTGTGTTGCTGTGACTACATCTGGTCACCGGTGTGTTCCTGTGACTACATCTGGTCACCGGTGTGTTGCTGTGAGTACATCTAGTCACTGGTGTGTTCCTGTGACTACATCTGGTCACTGGTGTGTTGCTGTGACTACATCTGGTCACCGGTGTGTTCCTGTGACTACATCTGGTCACCGGTGTGTTGCTGTGACTACATCTAGTCACTGGTGTGTTCCTGTGACTACATCTAGTCACTGGTGTGTTCCTGTGACTACATCTAGTCACTGGTGTGTTGCTGTGACTACATCTGGTCAATGGTGTGTTGCTGTGACTGCATCTAGTCACCGGTGTGTTGCTGTGAGTGCATCTAGTCAATGGTGTGTTGCTGTGAGTGCATCTGGTCACCGGTGTGTCGCTGTGACTACATCTAGTCACTGGTGTGTTCCTGTGACTACATCTAGTCACTGGTGTGTTCCTGTGACTACATCTGGTCACCGGTGTGTACCTGTGACTACATCTAGTCACTGGTGTGTTCCTGTGACTGCATCTAGTCACTGGTGTGTTCCTGTGACTGCATCTGGTCACTGGTGTGTTGCTGTGACTGCATCTAGTCACTGGTGTGTTCCTGTGACTGCATCTGGTCACTGGTGTGTTGCTGTGACTGCATCTAGTCACTGGTGTGTTGCTGTGACTACATCTGGTCAATGGTGTGTTGCTGTGACTACATCTGGTCACTGGTGTGTTGCTGTGACTACATCTAGTCACTGGTGTGTTGCTGTGACTACATCTGGTCACTGGTGTGTTCCTGTGACTACATCTGGTCACCGGTGTGTTCCTGTGACTACATCTAGTCACTGGTGTGTTGCTGTGACTACATCTAGTCACTGGTGTGTTCCTGTGACTACATCTGGTCGCTGGTGTGTTCCTGTGACTACATCTAGTCACTGGTGTGTTGCTGTGACTACATCTGGTCAATGGTGTGTTGCTGTGACTACATCTGGTCGCTGGTGTGTTCCTGTGACTACATCTAGTCACTGGTGTGTTGCTGTGACTACATCTAGTCACCGGTGTGTTGCTGTGACTACATCTAGTCACTGGTGTGTTGCTGTGACTACATCTAGTCACTGGTGTGTTCCTGTGACTACATCTGGTCACCGGTGTGTTGCTGTGACTACATCTAGTCACTGGGGTGTTGCTGTGACTACATCTAGTCACTGGTGTGTTGCTGTGACTACATCTGGTCACTGGTGTGTTCCTGTCACTACATCTAGTCACTGGTGTGTTCCTGTGACTACATCTAGTCACTGGTGTGTTGCTGTGACTGCATCTAGTCACCGGTGTGTTGCTGTGACTACGTCTAGTCACTGGTGTGTTGCTGTGACTGCATCTAGTCACTGGTGTGTTCCTGTGACTACATCTGGTCACTGGTGTGTTCCTGTGAGTGCATCTGGTCACCGGTGTGTTGCTGTGACTACATCTAGTCACTGGTGTGTTGCTGTGACTACATCTAGTCACTGGTGTGTTGCTGTGACTACATCTAGTCACTGGTGTGTTGCTGTGACTACATCTGGTCACCGGTGTGTTCCTGTGACTACATCTAGTCACTGGGGTGTTGCTGTGACTACATCTAGTCACTGGTGTGTTGCTGTGACTACATCTGGTCACTGGTGTGTTCCTGTGACTACATCTGGTCACCGGTGTGTTGCTATGACTACATCTGGTCACTGGTGTGTTCCTGTGACTACATCTAGTCACTGGTGTGTTGCTGTGACTACATCTAGTCACTGGTGTGTTGCTGTGACTACATCTGGTCACTGGTGTGTTCCTGTGACTACATCTAGTCACTGGTGTGTTGCTGTGACTACATCTAGTCACTGGTGTGTTCCTGTGACTACATCTGGTCAATGGTGTGTTCCTGTGAGTGCATCTGGTCACCGGTGTGTTGCTGTGACTACATCTAGTCACTGGTGTGTTGCTGTGACTACATCTGGTCACTGGTGTGTTGCTGTGACTACATCTAGTCACTGGTGTGTTGCTGTGACTACATCTGGTCACCGGTGTGTTCCTGTGACTACATCTAGTCACTGGGGTGTTGCTGTGACTACATCTAGTCACTGGTGTGTTGCTGTGACTACATCTGGTCACTGGTGTGTTCCTGTCACTACATCTAGTCACTGGTGTGTTCCTGTGACTACATCTAGTCACTGGTGTGTTGCTGTGACTGCATCTAGTCACCGGTGTGTTGCTGTGACTACGTCTAGTCACTGGTGTGTTGCTGTGACTGCATCTAGTCACTGGTGTGTTCCTGTGACTACATCTGGTCACTGGTGTGTTCCTGTGAGTGCATCTGGTCACCGGTGTGTTGCTGTGACTACATCTAGTCACTGGTGTGTTGCTGTGACTACATCTAGTCACTGGTGTGTTGCTGTGACTACATCTAGTCACTGGTGTGTTGCTGTGACTACATCTGGTCACCGGTGTGTTCCTGTGACTACATCTAGTCACTGGGGTGTTGCTGTGACTACATCTAGTCACTGGTGTGTTGCTGTGACTACATCTGGTCACTGGTGTGTTCCTGTGACTACATCTGGTCACCGGTGTGTTGCTATGACTACATCTGGTCACTGGTGTGTTCCTGTGAGTGCATCTAGTCACCAGTGTGTTCCTGTGACTATATCTAGTCACCAGTGTGTTCCTGTGAGTGCATCTAGTCACTGGTGTGTTGCTGTGACTGCTCTTGTCACCGGTGTGTTGCTGTGACTGCATCTAGTCACTGGTGTGTTCCTGTGACTACATCTGGTCACCGGTGTGTTGCTGTGACTACATCTAGTCACTGGTGTGTTGCTGTGACTATATCTAGTCACCAGTGTGTTCCTGTGACTACATCTGGTCACTCGTGTGTTGCTGTGACTGCTCTTGTCACCGGTGTGTTGCTGTGACTACATCTGGTCACCGGTGTGTTCCTGTGACTACATCTGGTCACCGGTGTGTTGCTGTGAGTACATCTAGTCACTGGTGTGTTCCTGTGACTACATCTGGTCACTGGTGTGTTGCTGTGACTACATCTGGTCACCGGTGTGTTCCTGTGACTACATCTGGTCACCGGTGTGTTGCTGTGACTACATCTAGTCACTGGTGTGTTCCTGTGACTACATCTAGTCACTGGTGTGTTCCTGTGACTACATCTAGTCACTGGTGTGTTGCTGTGACTACATCTGGTCAATGGTGTGTTGCTGTGACTGCATCTAGTCACCGGTGTGTTGCTGTGAGTGCATCTAGTCAATGGTGTGTTGCTGTGAGTGCATCTGGTCACCGGTGTGTCGCTGTGACTACATCTAGTCACTGGTGTGTTCCTGTGACTACATCTAGTCACTGGTGTGTTCCTGTGACTACATCTGGTCACCGGTGTGTACCTGTGACTACATCTAGTCACTGGTGTGTTCCTGTGACTACATCTGGTCACCGGTGTGTTGCTGTGACTACATCTGGTCACCGGTGTGTTCCTGTGACTACATCTAGTCACTGGTGTGTTCCTGTGACTACATCTGGTCACCGGTGTGTACCTGTGACTACATCTGGTCACTGGTGTGTTCCTGTGACTACATCTAGTCACTGGTGTGTTCCTGTGACTACATCAAGTCACTGGTGTGTTGCTGTGACTACATCTGGTCAATGGTGTGTTGCTGTGACTACATCTGGTCACTGGTGTGTTCCTGTGACTACATCTAGTCACCGGTGTGTTCCGGTGACTACATCTAGTCACTGGTGTGTTGCTGTGACTGCATCTAGTCACCGGTGTGTTGCTGTGACTGCATCTAGTCACTCGTGTGTTCTGTTCCTGTTGCAGTGCTGACATTGTGTTCTCCAACTGGTTGTTGATGTATCTGTCGGACACGGAGGTGCAGGAACTGCTACATAAGCTGCTGGAATGGCTGGACGATGATGGCTACCTGTTCATCAGAGAGTCTTGCTTTCATGCTTCAGGTAGGTTTAGTGTCATCAGGTCATCATTTGGGCCACTATGTAGTGCCAAATCCATCATCATGAACATAATATTTGTTCAACTCGAAATTCATGCAACAGTGTCTCAAGTAAGGTACAGTAAACTATGGTCATGACAAACTCAAGATACCACTAATTTTGATTTGTTTTAACCGTCGTTTGTTATAAGCCTATGTAAGGCATATATACAGCAAATGGACGTGACCAAGAAAAAGTGTGTTATATCCGTCAGTTTGTTATGAGCATTTTTGTTTCCTTACCACTCAAGAAGATTTACTTTAGATCAATAAAACCTGGTATGTTGTCATAATAGGGTAGGCCCAAGATCACAGGTCAAAGTCAGAGTTAGATCACAATTTCTTGCAATGGAAATGAGTTTATCAAACTGGAGTTGATATTGATAAACTGGAAGTACATAAAACTTACTTATTAAGGTAGCTAGAGACATAGGACTTTCAGTTTCACAGCTGTCTTGCATTGGACATGTGTTTCTCAAACTGGAGTGTAACTGGAAGTGCATATTACTTTTCTTATTAAGGTGGTTAGAGGCCTGTGGCGTTCTGTCTAATGACAAGTGATATTATTCCACCGGAAGTGGTTATGTCTTTCTTATTAAGGTGGTTAGAGGCCTGTGGTGTTCTGTCTAATGACAAGTGATATTATTCCACCGGAAGTGGTTATGTCTTTCTTATTAAGGTGGTTAGAGGCCTGTGACGTTCTGTCTAATGACAAGTGATATTATAATTGTACTGCTTTGGCTCTCAGACCTGAAATGATGTCAATAGACTGGAAGTGATGTCATTCGAGTGGCACAGCCTTTAGGTTTCTGATTGTATTCGTTAGAGTTGAGATCCTTAAGTTTGATATGATGTGATGTATTTTACCATATGGTATCAAACTGGAAATGTGAAGTGGTCTGTTATAATTTCTAAGGCATTCTACAACATGGCACCGGTGAAGGTGCTGTAATGGTGTTTTGAGCTGCTTATATACTTTGCTGACTCAATTTGGAGATAACTTTTCATTTTGTGACATGACAGGTAACAAGCCACGTACAAACAATCCCACCCACTACCGAGATCCCCAGATGTATGATGCCTTTGCCGCCTCCACCGTGGTCCCTTGTGGGGAGAGTCAGTCCTACGGCTTGGATCTCGTGTTTTCAAAGGCGGTAGCCACATATATTAAAGTAGGTATCTCGTAACTTTTAACATGACTTTAAACTGAAATAATTCAGAACTAAAACAGAGTTTGATAATAATTAACTTTAAAATGTCACCATTTATACTCCTTTTACTTTCTGTGAAGGTGAAAAATATTTTATACTTCTGTGCCCAGAGGTGGAGGACTAGTTGATCGTTGTGTGTGTGTTGTGTCTGCAGCACTGTAAGATGAGCTAGTGTCTGTGTTGTGTCTGCGGCAATGTAAGATGAGCTAGTGTCTGTGTTGTGTCTGCAGTACTGTAAGATGAGCTAGTGTCTGTGTTATGTCTGCAGCACTGTAAGATGAGCTAGTGTCTGTGTTGTGTCTGCAACACTGTAAGATGGGATACAAAGTGTCTGTGTTGTGTCTGCAGCACTGTAAGATGAGACACAAAGTGTCCGTGTTGTGTCTGCAGCACTGTAAGATGAGATGCAAAGTGTCTGTGTTGTGTCTGCAGCACTGTAAGATGAGATACAAAGTGTCCGTGTTGTGTCTGCAGCACTGTAAGATGAGATGCAAAGTGTCTGTGTTGTGTCTGCAGCACTGTAAGATGAGATACAAAGTGTCCGTGTTGTGTCTGCAGCACTGTAAGATGAGATGCAAAGTGTCTGTGTTGTGTCTGCAGCGTAAAGGTAACGGGAACCAGGTGGTGTGGTTGTGGCAGAAGGTGAAGCGGGACGTGTCTGCCAACCAGGGCTTCCAGACCTTCCAGGAGTTCCTCGACTCTCAGCAGTACTCCATCAACGGCATCCTCCGTTATGAGAAGATATTTGGCCGGACATTTATCAGTACTGGTGGACTTGCAACGACAAAAGTAGGCATCACTTTTCACTTTTTATGTTCCTGTTCCCTTCCCAGTTGATAACAATTAAACAGTACCAGCAAAGTCACAGTTTATCATGTACGTCAATCAGTTAATGAATCTTCCAGAAAAAAATTCTCATAAGGACGAGAATTTATGGATGTCAACTTCTTGTCCTCATGTGTATCACTTCTAAATGCCATTCAAAGACTTAACAATGTCTCAATTTAACACAGGACACTAATTTCAATGTCTAAACCTAGGCTGAAAGTGGACAACAAATAGTAGAGTATAGTCATTCTGTAGAGAGTGTATGTTGTCTCCATTCTAATACAATAAATGTCTGGCCCATTCACTATCAAAGCTCCATTAGGGATGTGACACCCCCATCTCCTATCAGCAGCTTCCCTTACTCTTTCTGGGGCATGGTTGGCCCAGTCATCTGAGGTGCTGCAATTTGCTGTGTGGAGTTGTGTCCCTTAGGCGTGCAAGAAACCTATGACCGTTGGCTTGAATCAGGGATCACCCTGATTACATGTCTAGGTTTGTCCATACCATACCCATACCTATGGGTTACACCACGTAGTAAATATCTAAGACCTGCAGCATTTCAAGCTTTCCTCCCACATCAAGCTGACAGGGATGTGATATAACTGGAATACTGTTAAAAGCAGCATGATACCAAACTCACTCACTCACTCATAATATACCTTGCCATAAGTAGGAAATCCACAACTACTCAAAATGAGAGTCTGACATAAATCAGAATGTTGGGTTGTAAAGGTTACACCTTAGGTACAGAGCTCCAATAATCAATAACTATCAATTTGTATCCCCTGACACAAAGTGGGGCGGGGGATTTAGGAACGGAGTCCATCCATTCTCCTTTCCGTCTTTCAGTCTTTCCTTCCATCTGTTCACTTTTCAAACTTTCAAATTTTCTCAAAAACTATTTAAGTTACAGAAATGAAATTTTGCACAGTGAAGTTTACACTGTCATGATCATAAATGAGTTCGAAAATAGGTGTCTTAAATTTATTTTTTAAGAGTTTTGGCCCTTGATCCATGTTATTTTACTTCGTGCATGGTGTGTACAATGGGAACAAGTTTCTTGAAACTACTGAAGTTAGCTTATCTAAGAGATACTAGTCAACACTGAGTTCAAGAATTGGTGCCATAAATTATTTTTTCCAGAGAAGGGGCCTTTTGTGTGTATTAATTTCACATTTAATCAGTTTTTTGTGATGATGTAAAGCAACCCAAGAGCCTATCTCTTCTTAAGGCTTTACGGGACTCTTTTTTTATAGTTTATATTCACTACTATATGGACAAACAAAATTCTAATGTGCACCATGGCAGGGGATGGTGATAACGCTGTTTTCTTGTTGGTTCTGGGGACCATTGAAATATCGAGGTATCCATGTATGGAGACAGTTAAACTAATGCTGATATTAGACCACAGTATCAATAAAGACTCTGTGAGACTGTAAAGTAACATCTTCGTGGACCTTTATAACTGTTATACTGATTCCCTTTGCAGCTGTTTGTAGACATGTTGAACCTGACCGAGGGTGCTTATGTACTGGATGTTGGCTGTGGAATTGGTGGCAGTGCTTTCTACATGGCCAAGGTAGGTGGGCCTTCTCTCAGACAGTGACACCTTGTTCGTTTATGTATACCTTATTTGACGGGAATCACAACTTTTGGGGAGATTACTGAACGGGATGTTCATATGCTGTTTGTTTGTTCCTGTGAGACAATCACCCTGAAGATGGGACCTTCTTGATTAATGTGGTTTCACTGGACTGTAAAGAAAGGTCACATCCTCCACCTTCAGCAGATTTAGTAGACTCTATTGTTTCAATGACTAACCTACAAACCCACAAATTATCATGCCAAATAGATTATAATTAGGTGCAATTCTCTTTTTCAATTATATCATTACCCACCTAAACTCATTCTTCGGTAAGTAGTTTGTGATGTATATCAAGATTCTTTGTAAGCTTAAGTGCTTTAAAGAACTTGGCACATCCAGAAACACTTGCAACCAACTTCTCCGCGCTGTCATTGCGAGTTGCTACAGTCGATGCATGGACGTTTCAAGTACTCCTAGTAACCAGTGATAAGACTCTTATGGGTTATTGGTTTATCAGCTGACACTAGAATAAAGAAAGAAAGAAAGAAAGAAAGAAAGAAAGAAAGAAAGAAGAAAAAGAAAGATAAGCACTATTTTTATTTTTACTCCATGGATTGCAAACCTATGTGTCAGTCACTCTGATCTAAGGGCGTGAATGATGTCTATAAATATTTGTATGACCGTTGTGAAATAAGAACTTTGCATATGATAGTTTGATAAATCAATCTTTGCATACTTACAGATGTGAATTAATTCTAGAATACAGAATCTATGATGAGTATCTAGTGTATTGTCATACAGTATGAAAGCATTCCCCAACTGTGCCAGGACTGGCTGTTCGTCAGTTGACGAACCGGATTTAGATTTTGTTTCGCAATTTTGATTGGACTATGCAAAGATTCATTACTCCAGTCAAAATGTATTTCTATAATAACAGTCTAGTTCGGCAAGGGTTGAAACTGGTCAGTTAACTCTCTTGCCTCGGGAAGATGGGTTTTACAACGCTTTTAGCAATATTACAGAAATATTGTGGCGGGGGACCCCAGAAGGGCTTCACACATCGTGCCCATGTGGAGAAATGAACCCGGGTCTTCAGTGTTATGAGCGAACACTTTAACCACTAGGCTACCCCACTGCCCTTGTTGGGAGAGTGTTTAATGTTGCTTATCTCCTGGCTGTATTGGTAATTCCAGGAGTTTGGGTCACGGGTTGTTGCCATGGATCTGTCAGCCAACATGATCAAGCTGGGGATCCAGAGAGCAGCGGAGGGAGGTGTAGATCCGGACCAAGTCACCTTTGAGATTGCTGATGTCACAAAACGATCCTACCGCCCTGAGTCCTTCGACATCATCTACAGCAGGGACACCATCCTCCACATTGCCGACAAACTAGCACTCTTCAAGAGGTTCTATGTAAGTTTGAAATATCACATAAGCTGCCTTTAGTAGTCATGATGGGTGGTTGATGTCCATCCTTGTACTTAGTTTCATATTCCTAGTATATCAGCTGTTCAACTGATTTTTCCATCAACCTTTCTATCCAACTTACAGCATGTGTGGAATGAAACTGCATGTTAGGTCCTGAGGGACATACATGCACACATTTCTGTATATCTACTAAGAGAGTTGTAGCAGGACGTGGAGTCATCCCACAGATGACATCCTTACCTTGTCAGCTTGCTGACGGGGTTAACCTCTTTGGTCATGTGGACAAGGCGTCTGACCTCTGATTAGAAGGTCCATGGTTCGAATCCCATCACAGGACTCGGACATTTTATGGCCGCTACATTGGCGCCCAACGTGGGGCTGAGCATATTCATATTAAATTTCAGCAAAATAAGTCTCAGTACCCTACTATGCGTCCCTTCTGTTGATGGGGAAGTATGTAGCAGGGCGTGGAGTCATCCCACAGATGACATCCTCACCTTGTCAGCTTGCTGACAGGGTTAACACCTTTGGTCATGTGGACAAGGCCGCTACAGAGTAGCACACTAACATGTAGAAATTGAGAGACTTTTGTATGGATAGACAATTATCCATATTAAATAAACTATTTAAAAAAGGTTAAATACTATAAATAATACTTTAAAAAAGTTTTATACAGAACAATTTGTTTGATGTTGCAGGAGATGAAGCAAATAAAGTATGAGTTAAATTTCCTTCATTAATATGTACAGGATGAGAATATCAGCATGGACTGTTCTAGAAAACAATTAACGCTGGTGTTGTCAATATTCTGTAGAAATGGCTGAAACCAGGTGGGAAGATCTTGATCTCCGACTACTGCTGCAGCGCCGAGGAGCACTCTGACGTCTTCAAGTCATACGTCAAACAGAGGGGCTACATCTTGTACAGTCCTGCACAGTATGGGAAGGTGTGCCTCCATGTGTATTTTGTTGTGCTCCTTACTGATTTACAAATCATTAAAACATTGAAAACGAACACTGTAAAATGAAGGTTATGGTCACCCTTTACCAATTTGATGCTTAGGAGAAGACAATACAGACAGACCTTTATTAGAGGTAGGGTTCCAGAGAGGTAGACACTGTTGGTCAAATCCACAAGTCCGCAGATCATTTTGGAATAGTGGCTTATGTAAGATAACTAGATGTTGCAGAAATCAACTTGTCTCACTTGATTTTTTCATTAGTCTTGGACCAACAGACAAGTGGCCATGTTTGTCGCTGGTTACAGTGCTAGGACAAGGCAGAATATTTGATTGTCACCTAAGCCTTAAGCCTGAGGAAGACTGTATGTGTCTTTGCTTATATACTCTTAAACAAATGTATGAGATCATGAAATATAAATGTTAATTCCAAGTATCAGACCAAACATATATGTTGACAACAAACATCCCATGCAAGAGCGTTTATGTCTGTAAAAGTTAACACAAAAACACCTCCTACAGTTCATGATAGTTTGCACATGCTGCACGCGGTAGCCACACACATGTGTAGGGTGTCATTCCTGATTTTAACTCTTTCAAGGAAAGTCAATGGATCTCTCTGGACCATTTTTTCTGTCAATGTTATTGATTCTGTTCATTTTTTGTGTATCAATAGGAATGTGGCGTGTGCAACATGTTTAATATTTGTGTCCAACCTCGTGTCCAAGAATTATATTACTTATAGAGCAATGTGCATTCACGTGTGTGTCTGTGTGTGGCTGCTTGTACTAGTCCGGAGTTATGCCAATTTTATAGTGCTAGCACACTGAGATACCACGCCACAGTTTAACATAAATAGCCCGCTCAGACACAGTATGCTGACTCCGAGCCGACCAGTCCTTGTGTTATGCGGAGTGCCAGGCAGGGTAACAACAAGTACCATCTCATAACATCTTTTGGTATGGCATTCTGCCTATACATTGAGATTGTTGCAATCTTGCAATCAGTCACTGGTTTGTCTAGTCAATGCTAGATTATTTACAGGCCACCGTGCCTACAAGGGCATTAGTCATGAAGATGATGAAGTGGAAGTATCCCCCTACCTATATACTGTATTTGTCTTCAGTTGCTGGAACAGGCTGGCTTTGTTGATGTGAGAGCGGAGGACAAGACTGATCTGTTCACAGAGGTTCTTAAGGCAGAGCTGGCTCGCACTGAGCAAATCAAGGATGTCTTCATTAAGGTTGGTGAAACTGATTTTTATTAATAATAGTGTTCTGACAGAATTACTTTAAGCATTTGTGTAAGTATTGGACAAATATTAGGGACTTCATTTTTTATGTACTTCCTCTGTGTCCCTGGGGAATTATTCTAACATATTATTCGATGACACTGAAGATCAAGGTCACTCATTATGAACTAGGCATGAAAAAGTCTGTATACGTGATGTCAGTATATTTTTGTGGGGAATTTAATGAAACTAGGCACATGACCTCTAAAAGTGGGTCTCAACAGAATCAGCTTTTGGATGATCTCTGTAAGATGTGAAGGTCACTGGAAGTCAAATTGTAGCTTTTGTTTTTTGAAACTTCAAATAAATTCATGAAACACCAATCATTAATGATATACTCAAAGTAACTGACTCAATACCATATATCAAGGTTGTGTCAAATGTCAAGGTTGTGTCAAATGTCAAAGTTGTGTCATATATCAAGGTTGTGTCATATGTCAAGGTTGTGTCATATATCAAGGTTGTTTGAGGATGGTAATGTGAAAGAATTATGTCTCTCCCCTAAAGGGAGGGGAGACATTGTTTTTGGCTTGGTTCCCGTTGGTGTTGGTATCAGCGTCAGTGTTCCAATCCTATTCTGAGCCATATCTTGAAAACCATTCAATGTTTTTTAACGAAACTTGGCATATGCATTGCTCATCAGCTTAACTGGTGCCTTTTGCTATTTTGAAATTTGGCTAAATTTGATTTTGTTACTTTTCCATGGAAACAATTTGGAATTAGTATCGAACAACTCTAGGCTTTGTTTCCGAGTCATAACTCTCAAACTAATGAATATTTTTGCATGAAACTATACATGTGCAATGACCACTTGCTCAACTTTCACCTTTTCATACTTTTGAATTTATATTTTTTTAAATTTCTTGTATTTTCCATGGACACAATTTAGAAAGTATTTTTTTCTGAGCATAAGGGTACATCTACTTGCACAATTCCATCATCCGAACGGCAGTTACAAGTTCAGTAGTCTCATCTGCCACAAAGAGACAACATAGCATCAACTGTAATGCTGTTTCAGTAATTCATTAATCAGAATCTGTATAAGTACCTTTTGCCATTATTGTATTTTGGATTTGCAAACACATTTAAGTAACAATTTGAACTGATATGTCAAAAAAGGAAGGGTAGACATAAAAACACATTCTAGCTCTCTGTTAATATGCAGTGAAACACCTTTAATCCAGACAATACCATTCTCATTGAAAATTCTAGATTAAGGAACCATTGTTTCTTTGTAATGTTCTTGGTGTTATGTATTCATCCAAAAGTGGTGTTCCATGAGGTTTCCATAATCAGGGGATTTATTACCCATAGGGTTAGAAATAACTGAGTTCATAAAAATTGTATGTGCACTTGTGCAAATATCACTTCTCATGCACCTGTGTATTGTTTCCGTCATTCGAACGGCATAGTTGATGTCATTCACATCTTATTGTGACGTAAGGTTTGAATGACATCACACTAGAAATGTCATTCATAGCTGTTGGTGTGATTCGACAAATTGTGGTTTTCTGGGACAGCGGTGGTGATCAGTACATTTTTCTAAAGGGGACCTCAAAAGGATCAAGACATAACGGGTAATAAAGAAATTACTACACTCACATGTGTGTCATACTTTTTTTAACAAAACTTGTGTAAGAATTCATGTATTACCTTCGCTCTCGCTCAGGAAATACAAGAATTCTGACACTCATAAAATCAGTATGACACACATGCTCACATAATTATCTCTGGATATGACTTAATTTTTCTTGCTGTGATTTTGCAGGAGTTCAGCCAGAAGGACTATGATGACATCGTGTCTGGCTGGAAGGACAAGCTGTTCCGTGTGGGGTTGGGGGACCAGAGATGGGGGCTCTTCTATGCTGTGAAGCCATGAAAAATTGTGTGAATCTCAAAATCTGACTTGTCTCGCTTTGTGAGAGGACATCATGACTTTTCATGCAATGATGCAACTGTGATAATCATCCTTTCCTGGTGAATCGGGAAGAAAACTGTGATTCTGTTTACCTCACTGTGGGCGTATGTTTCACGCCATCATCACTATATTTGATCATATTACAGGTCTGGGTAATTGTCATAAATTAGATGGCTAATTATAAAGAAAGGAATGGTGAAGTTGGACCTGTCATGAAAATAGAATGAAAATATGTTTCTGTGACATATACACATGAGTATTAATTAAGCAACACCCACGTTTTCGGATATGTGCTTCATTATCAATGACTATTGGTTGTTGGAAACACGAGTAGTGAACTGACACTCAAAAGACCTGGCACTACCATCACACATGTAATGAAGCTGACACTAGCAATTTTATTGGCGTTATGAGAAGTCTAAGCACATTCATTTCAACATCACTGAAAAGTATCTGTACCCAGCCCTCACAACGAATCGGACTGTCACATGATGCAGTGAAAAATGATGACTGCCAACCTAGGAATCACCACTGACTCTGTAATCAGTATCTGGTGTAGGCAGCCCTCTCACGGCTGACATTCGCAAGGCTTCTCTTGATGCGGCTGATCAGATATCGGATTTTCAACATAGGGATCCTCTGCCATTCCTGGTGCAGTGCTTGGTTTTAGACTGGAGGGTCTCAACTGTCATTTGGTGGCCAAGGTAATCCAAAACGTATTCAGTTCAAATCAGGCTTTGTTATTATTTTTCGGAATTGGATTGTGAATTAGGTGGTGCTTAATTACTGCTCATATGTGTATATAAATGGTATATTGAGTTATCAAACTGATGACTGAAAAGAGTCACAATTATCTACTGCCTGATTGACACTTTGTGTCAAATGTGTCTCGTCTTGCTGACTCATGTTTGAAATCCACATCTTTGTGCAGTGCCATGGTTGATCAGATAGCCTCACTTGCAAGAATGGAATGACTGATTGTCGCTGGGCTTGTGTTCCAGATCAGGCCTTTGTTTGCCATTTGCTTGTAATTAATGTGAATAAGGTACTTCAGTGAAGTTCTTTGATGTCTCAGTTCATGTTAAATCTCACATCAAATTAAATTGAGATGATCAATGCTACAGTTATTCCTTTGATTCACAGCTTTTATCTCTTGTATTAAAAATGTAAATGTATCATGAAAAATATGGGTTTGGGTTTGGGTAGGGTTACAAAAAAGTGCTATTTTGTTTACTGAAGGTAATGATGTCAGGTGACATACCAGTGCTATGGGTGCTATATTCACTGATCATGATCAATTATTCATGATCCCAAACATTTTTTGTTCAGTATGTATTTTTATGTACAACAGTGTTGTGTAACACAAGGTTATGACAAGATGGCACTTATATGTCAAGTAATATCTTAACCATATGATCTTTCTGCACAAGGCATTTTTACAGTATGTTCAGAAAATTGGAAACAAAACCAGTCACACAAAAGTAGGAATTAGCTGATGATGATTATATGTACATTGATGTAGAGAAATGTATATATTCTAGGTGTCCTTGGTTTTACAGATTTTTACAAAAATATAGTATTTTAGTGCCAAATATTTTTTCCTGTATTTTTTCTGTAAAAGTAACAATTGATGAAGGATATACAAAGTAACTGTTTGTAAAGATAAAGAAACATATTGTCCTTTTGCTAAGTACTTACTCAGTATATTCCAATGTAGAGGTGACACGTGACCCCACATACGTTACAGTTATTAGTTTTCATGTAATATGGGTTATATGGCTTTCAACACAATAAATATCTTAACTCTTGGATCATTTATGTAGTGGAATGTACATGTTCTAGATATGTTTGGTTTTAAAGATTTTTGACAAAATGTGATATTTTAGTGCCAAACATTTGTTCCTGTACTTTTCTGTATAAGTGCAAATTGATGAAGTCAATTGATAAAAAACTTACATTAGCCTGATAACCATTCAACAAATTATATTTTTAATACCATGGTAACATAGCTTGTCAAGGACGTCTACCTCTTGTTAACCAACGAATGACTGTACTACGCACAATTCTATATACTGGTGGCTAACTCCTTTATATAAAAGGTTTCTGCATACCTATATGTTATACCATATGTCCTATAGGCAGTTGTGATAAGTCAATTCATGTTGTTGAGAGCACAGTTGGACGTACAGTTTACTGCTGTTCCCAATCTTCATCCTCATCACCGTCACATCTTTTTCTTGTTTCATTCATCCACTGATAGATCATGAAGCACGTTACTAATTTGACACTTCTTCAGGAGGAAATGGCAATACATTCAAATACCGCTTGAAATGGACATATTCGGTTAAACCGAAGCAATTATATTTCCTTTTTAAAGGATTAATCTATAATACATGTTTAAAAATAAGTGTTTTTCATTGTTTAAGGGGCATTTGGGTAGATTTTGTCTATGAATATTTATCAAGTTGTAACATCTTCTTTTAAAATTCTATGGAGGTTAAGAATGTGTTTGTGGCCTCAATTTTGCATCACAAAATATTTCCAGAATCACACGAGGTTATGGAACAGCACTAAGAAGCCCTGTGACTGTTAACCAGTTTGTAGCTATGTTAATAACTGGCCCATGTTATTGTCCCTTGTGTAGGGTGTTTAATAAAACATTTATTTATGTGTAGAGATGTCATGTGTTTGTTTTTTAGCACAAAAGTGAATTCCTATGAGTGAAATTGCTACGTGTTGTTGGCCTGTATGAGTTCTAGCTATACCAGGAGACAAATCACTTGTCATATGTTGACAGAGGGCAGTGTCAGTCCTAGCTATACCAGGAGACAAATCACTTGTCATATGTTGACAGAGGGTAGTGTCAGTCCTAGCTATACCAGGAGACAAATCACTTGTCATATGTTGACAGAGGGTAGTGTCAGTCCTAGCTATACCAGGAGACAAATCACTTGTCATATGTTGACAGAGGGTAGTGTCAGTCCTAGCTATACCAGGAGACAAATCACTTGTCATATGTTGACAGGGGGTAGTGTCAGTCCTAGCTATACCAGGAGACAAATCACTTGTCATATGTTGACAGAGGGTAGTGTCAGGCCTAGCTATACCAGGAGACAAATCCCTTGTCATATGTTGACAGAGGGTAGTGTCAGTCCTAGCTATACCAGGAGACAAATCACTTGTCATATGTTGACAGAGGGTAGTGACAGTCCTAGCTATACCAGGAGACAAATCACTTGTCATATGTTGACAGAGGGTAGTGTCAGTCCTATCTATACCAGGAGACAAATCACTTGTCATATGTTGACAGAGGGAAGTGTCAGTCCTAGCTATACCAGGAGACAAATCACTTGTCATATGTTGACAGAGGGTAGTGTCAGTCCTAGCTATACCAGGAGACAAATCACTTGTCATATGTTGACAGAGGGTAGTGTCAGTCCTAGCTATACCAGGAGACAAATCACTTGTCATATGTTGACAGAGGGTAGTGTCAGTCCTAGCTATATCAGGAGACAAATCACTTGTCATATGTTGACAGAGGGTAGTGTCAGTCTAGCTATACCAGGAGACAAATCACTTGTCATATGTTGACAGAGGGTAGTGACAGTCCTAGCTATACCAGGAGACAAATCACTTGTCATATGTTGACAGAGGGTAGTGTCAGTCCTAGCTATACCAGGAGACAAATCACTTGTCATATGTTGACAGAGGGTAGTGTCAGTCCTAGCTATACCAGGAGACAAATCACTTGTCATATGTTGGCAGAGGGTAGTGTCAGTCCTAGCTATACCAGGAGACAAATCACTTGTCACATGTTGACAGAGGGTAGTGTCAGTCCTAGCTATACCAGGAGACAAATCACTTGTCATGTTGACAGAGGGTAGTGTCAGTCCTAGCTATACCAGGAGACAAATCACTTGTCATATGTTGACAGAGGGTAGTGTCAGTCCTAGCTATACCAGGAGACAAATCACTTGTCATATGTTGACAGAGGGTAGTGTCAGTCCTAGCTATACCAGGAGACAAATCACTTGTCATATGTTGACAGAGGGCAGTGTCAGTCCTAGCTATACCAGGAGATAAATCACTTGTCATATGTTGACAGAGGGTAGTGACACAAAAGCTGGGATCTTGCCACATGTTGTTGCATATGATGATGACACAAGAGATATAATGATATAATTTGTCACATGTTGCATATTGTTATGCCACAAGAGATGGAATGAGATAATTTGTCACATGTTGCATATTGTGATGACAAGAGATGGAATGAGATAATTTGTCACATGTTGCATATTTTGATGACACAAGAGATGGAATGAGATAACTTGTCACACCTTGCATATTGTAATGACAAGAGATGGACTGAGATAATTTGTCACATGTTGCATATTGTGATGACACAAGAGATGGAATGTGAGATGTGCCATGCTGACAACAAGTACCATCTTTAATTGATACCACCCTTTCCCTTGGCAAGTGCTGTATCCACCAGACCACTGAGGAGGTCTCTGCAACTTGAGAGATGTGAGGAGAGCTACTAGGTCTTGTCACATGCTATGTGTGCAGTCCAATTCGGCAGATATGTCTATAAGAAGAACAGCAGTAAACTTGATACGAAATGGCAGAATAGAATAAAGATGTAAAATAGTATCTTGAAGCAACATCGCTGAACAATTTAGTCTCTTAAACAATCATAGTCACGCAGGTGCTTAACACACGGTGATAATTATTGTTTTAAAACATGATTGGTTCTTGTTAACATGGTAGGCAAGTTATTTGGGTTATTGCAAGTCTTCCATCAAGGGACCATTTGGTTGTATCTGTTTAGGATTTGTTTATTTTGATTAGAAGTGAGACACAGTTTATAGTTTACATTTATTTTCGTTTTGGGACGTGTGCACTTCATGTGTTTTAAACATGATAAAGAATGGTTACTGTAGTGGCGATGCTTGTTTTCACGGATGGTCATTTAAACCAACAAGTGCCACAGCGGCCCCATAATTCTTGTGAATACCTCACCTCTATCACATCAGTGCCATAAATTCCTGTTTATGCTGAGAACCACACTATAAATTTTTATAAATTTTCAACAGACGTCCACTACACTGCCAACGTATCCATAGTTGTGAGGGAAACCCTATCCCTTGCCAGAGGCGCCACTGCGCATGCGCAAGGCGGGAATCTAGTCACTTCTTTCCTGTGTGTCCTGATGACAACAAGGAAAATTATTTTGTTGCACATCCGAACACGTGATTGCGTTCCACACTACAAGCATTAGATCGTCTCAAGCTTTATAGATTACAAGCAAAGAGCAGTTCTACAAGCAGAACGGGGGTATAGAAGATCGGAGTCTCTAGTAAGTAATTAGTTAAGAAAAGTGTTGTGGGATGAGATCTTCATCTCATAAGCAGACACCTGTCTGTTCGGGCTGTGGACAACACCAAGCTCCGGGGGATCCTCACCCTAGATGTCTCGCATGCAAGAAAAGCAGCTGTACACAGAAGTCAAGGTGCAGTTATTGCGAGCATCTGTCAAAAGAAAAATTTGACAAGCTCTCCAAGGCATGGATCACAAATCCCGATTATAAAAAGGTCACTAGAGCATCTACATCAAGAAAACAAGTGATTAAGCCCGAGGCGGCAAAAATTAACCACGTGGGTGACAAGCGAGTGTCGCGCGAGGGCGCCGTCTCACCTTATGAGGAGAAGAGACCACGTCGCTCATCCCACTCTCCCTATAATGTTGAGGAGCAGATGCATGTTATTGGTCAATCAGAAAGTACCTCTAACTTGCATCCGGCAACGTCCGGTACGGTCGATCGTCGAGTTTGGACAGAAACTAACGACTTTCACCCTCTGCCGCGTTCCCCCTTTAACGTAAATGAGTTCACGGAAAGAATAACAAATTCTATTTCTGTTATGATTGACACACGCATGCAATCTATGTCTCGAGAAATCTCAGATCTAAAAGAATCAGTTAATCAAACCCGGCTGGGCCAATCAGGGATCGATCACGAGAGTAAACAGAGATCTAAGGCAGAATATGGCAGTACACCCTCATACAGCAGACATGTAAAGCAAGGTTACGCTGAATCAGACTATGAGGACAGTAGGAGAGTTTTACTAAGAGACCGAGAATCTCATAGATCTTCTCCCTACCACGCATACCATAGGGATCATCGTGAATCACGGTCTTCACACCGAAGTATGCATTGAAATACGCACCAGTCACCGTCAAGCCACTATGATAGACGCACTGACAAAGCTCGTGCATATCAGGGTAGTAATCCTAAGCGTGCACCCTCTCATACTGCCACACAGTCCTGTTATACGGGCGAAGAAAGCGAGGGAAATTTGACATCACTATACAGTTATAGATCACGTGATTCCCGCACAGCTTGTCGTAAATCAGATGACCGGGATTACGATACCCTCAGCCATACGACCCACTCCCAGCACAGCCAGAGTAGGGGGTGCCGATCTACACCGGAGTATTCAGGCTATGGGGACACTGCTATAGAGGGGGATTATAGATCAAACAATTACTCCCTTAGAGACATCTTAGCAGAACTTTATGAACTAATGCCCACATTAAAACCAGATCAGGACAGTACACCCGTTAAACCCTTGATTGAACGTGCAGGATATGAGGGACCCGATAAAGGGACCGAACCATACCATACGCTTCCCCCTCCGTCATATTTGGATGACGTCATCAAGAGAACTGAAAATCAATTGAATTGTTCAGCGGGACCTAGTGCTAAACTGAGGCCTGTATCATGTGATGCCAGACCCCTTAAAGAGATCCATGATGTCAGCCCATTACGTCATCGCAGACTGAAGTCGGTGAAGGAAGCCATTATCTCTTCAACTAACCAGAGATTTCAGGAATCCACCATCTCATTAGCATCCAAGATACAGAGACAACCGGCGGCTACTCGACCCCAGCGACGGAGTCCTGGACCCCGACGTGAACAGCCCAACCGGGATTCTTTTCGAGCCTCTACACAGAGAAACAGATCGTATCAACCCAGATACAAGAGCTCCAAAGTTGATTTTCCCACTTCACAGAAAGGACTTGGCAGAGGAAGAGGCAGTTCCCGTAGGGCCCCCCTCGGAAATGACTTCACCATAAATCTACAGACCCATCCAGATCCTACCGACTTCGCCTGCCCTACGGACAACGATTTAGCATTACGGAAGACGAGGACACGTCTATTCCAAATCCAGTCGAACTAGCCAATCTTACAAACATCGACTCAAGACTTCCCAAGTTCAAATCTCATCCTATTCCAGGACCTGTCGGGGGCCGTCTTATGCAGTACTCGGACAACTGGGAGACCATCACAGACGACTCAGGGTTACTCGAAGTTATAAGAAGAGGCTACAAACTTCACTTCTTAAAGCGACCAAAACTAGTCATTCATCCTACCGGACCCCGATTCCACCTATCAGGACCCAAGCTAATCGCAGCAGAAGTGGCCATACAAAAATTACTCACAAAAGGAGCTATCAGCACCCTAAAGGAGTCAGACACCACCCTCGGATTCCACTCCCCAGTTTTTCTGGTACCGAAGAAGAATTCTTCAGAGATGAGATTAATAATAGACCTAAAAACTCTGAACAAAGATTACCTGGAAAAACCACCCACATTTCAGATGGAATCTATAAA